GAGGGGCAGGGCGGGCGGGAGGGGCGGGGGAGTCCTACGGCGGCCGCGAGGGACAGAACTGTGTGAGGTACCGCGACCGACCCCGCCGGGGGGCTCTGCCGGAGGGAACATGGAGATGATCCAAGGGATCCATCCAAAGGAGCCCCTTTGCCATGGAGAGAGACCGGGAGAGCTGGGGGTGCTCACATGGACGAGAGAAGGCTCCAGGGAGACCTGAGAGCCCCTTCCAGGGCCTAAAGGGGCTCCAGGAGAGCTGGAGAGGGACTGGGGACAAGGGATGGAGGGACAGGACAAGGGGAATGGCTTCCCAGTGCCAGAGGGCAGGGATAGATGGGATACTGGGAAGGAATTCTTGGCTGTGAGGGTGGGGAGGCCCTGGCACAGGTTTCCCAGAGCAGCTGTGGCTGCCTCATCCCCTTGTCCAGGTTGGACAGGGCTTGGAGCCACCTGGGCTAGTGGAAGGTGTCCCTGCCCATGGCAGGGGGTGGGATGAGATGCTCTTTAAGGTGTTTTCCAACTCAAACCATTCCATGATTCTGGTCCAGCTGGGTCCTGAGCCCACAGAAAAAAATTAAAGTTTTTTTCCATGACTTCCAGTCTCACCCTTTGCTAAAACTTAAAATCACAATTTCCAACGTTATTAATTTTTTTTTTACCTTGCAAAACAGATTTTACTTTTCTTCCTTGAAATTTGTGCAATGCACACATCTGTGTGTCTGCAGAACACACCTTGACAAAAAGGTTTTCATTCATACATTATTTTTTATTTAATGTCATGAAAAATTCAGACAACACTTTTGTCCTTAAATAAACATTTCTCCCTGCCCTCCCTTCCTAAGCTGATTGATCTGAAAGAGGAAATTTTATTTAGTTAGTTTTTTTTCCTGGTGTTTTCCAGCCTGAACACTTCTGTGTGGTTCTAGAGCTCCTTAATTCCTTATTTCCATTAGACTCCTTAGGGACTCCTTAGGTAGGGATCCCTCTCCAAGGTCCCAGCTCTCTGAAAATCCTTTAAATCTGGCCATTTATAACCCCAACTCTACTTTAAAAAACCTTTCCAAGCCCTGGGGCTGTGGTTTCTGTCCCAGCACTCCCAGGCTGTGTCAGGCTCACCCCTCTTGGCTGAGCAAATACTGAGGCCTCTCCCTGTAAACTTTCCCTAAAATTTCCCCAAACTCTGCCAAGTTTCTCTAAAATCCATCTCTTGGGGGTCACTGGTTGTGTTTGGCCCCCGCTCTGGGTGGGCTGCCCAGTTTTCCTGGGGATTGTCCCCAAAAAGGGGCACGGGCAGTGCCACTGGCTCCAGCATTTCCCAGCTGGGCGGGTGTTTTTTTGGGAAGGAAGGATCAGGCTTCCCGCCTCCATCCATCCGGATCCCAGGCATGCAGGGAATATTTTGGGTATAAACCAGTAGAGGTCACTCGGCCCCAGTAAATCCAGCGCTGCTGGACCAGTAAGAGAGGGAGCACGAACTGGGGGGAGCCACGGTGGGGACACCGACCCCCGGGTCACCCTCGTGTCCCAAACTCCTGTCCCGCGGGACAACCACAGCGATCCCATCCTGCCGCCTCTGGCTGGAGGTGCTCAGGCTCCCGGAGCCCACGGGGACCCCCAGACACCTCCTGGATAATTCCCAGCTTCTCCCCTGGAGCTGTAAGGCCATTTTTCCTGAACGTGTTCTGTTTAAAGAGCAGCTCTTCACAAGGAATTTTGTTAACGGATTTCCCATACTTTATATTTTTTCCAAAATACACCAAAGAAACTTGATTTTTTTTTGGGGGGGGGAAAGACCTTTTTTAAATGAAAATCAAGTAAAAGCATCACTGTGTAGCAACTTGTTAGGACTGTGGGTGTGACACCCCCAGCTCCAGGTGATCCCTGGGTGCTCCCACATGGACACAGCAGCTCCTTGGACACCCCAGCTCTGCTCCCTCCACCTCCAGAGGGGTTGATGACACTTCCCCACATCTCCACAAGCTGTGCCCTGTTTCTGGCTGTTCCCAGCTCTCTGTAGCAGCCAGGATTTATCCTGCAATATGTGAATTCCACGGGTGGGAACAGGAAAGAGGAGCTGTGCTGTCCCCTGGGAATGGCAGCTGGTGAGGGAAAACCCTGGGATTGACTGACCCTGCTGCCCCAAGGATTCCTGATCATCATTCCCCTCTGCTCCACAGCTCCAGGACAGTCCAGCTGTGCTGCTGAGGGACACAGCTCTGGATATGCCCAGGGAGCAGGGAATGGGCACCCAGGGGAGAACTGGAGGGGAAGGAGAGGGAAAGGAGGATGGGATTTGCACCCACACCCAGTGATGCCTTTGACCCATCTGCATCCTGAGCAGAGAATCACAGAATCCTGAATCTCCTGAGCTGGGAGGGACCCACAGGGGCCATCCAGGGATAGGGAACCCCTGTCCCTGCCCAGGACACCCCAACAATCCCACCCTGTCCCTCAGAGCGTTGTCCAAACGCTCCTGGAGCTCTGGCAGCCTTGGGGCCGTGCCCACTGCCCTGAGGAGCCTGGGCAGTGCCCCAGCACCCTCTGGGGGAAGAACCTTTCCCTGAGATCCATCCCAACCCCGCTGGCACAACTCCAACCCTTCCCTGGCTCCTGTCCCTGGTCCCAGAGCAGAGCTCAGCACTTTGCATCTGAGTCCTGGCATCCTTTTTGTATCCAGGGCGTGCTATCCATGTATCCCTTGTATATCCAGGGCATTCTTTCCTTCCCAGGACTGGGAACTGTTTGAAAACGAATCCCTGCCATGCCTGGGCTGTCCCTGATTCCCCCACATATCCCCCCATCCCCCAGACCTGTCCCCAGCCTCCTGCCCCAAAATGTGTCCCCTGTGCTGCCAGGGACAGTCCCTGTCCTCAGCCTGCAGGGTTTGCCCAGATGAAGCCCCTTCCCAGATCTTGGCTCTCCCTCGGAATGCCCAAGCTGGAGGATGCGGGGGACGGCACCGGGAAGTGCTTCCAAGGGCTCTTGGAACACAACATAGGGGTTCTGGGCACAGATCCAGCCTCTTCCCAGCTCACCTCAGTGTGTGCCTGGCATCAAGGGAACCCATAACACCTTCTAACACTCGAAATCTCCCCTTGTGTCCAAATCCTGCGCAGGATGGATGGGAGATTGGGAAGGAATTCTGCCCTGTGAGGGTGGGGAGGCCCTGGCACAGGTTGCCCAGAGCAGCCGTGGCTGCCCCATCCCTGGAAATGTCCAAGGCCAGGTTGGACGGGGCTTGGAGCAACCTGGGCTAGTGGAAGGTGTCCCTGCCCATGGCAGGGGGTGGCACTGGATGAGTTTTAATGTCCCTCCCAACCCAAACCATTACATGATTCTGGTCCAGCTGGGTCCTGAGCCCATGGGAAAATTAAAGGTTTTTTCCATGATTTTGAGGGATTCCCTTCCAGTCTTGCCATTTGCTAAAATTTAAAATCACTGTTTCCAACATTATTAATTCTTTTTTTTTTGACCTTGCAAAACAGACTTTATTTTTCTTCCTGCATTTTCTGTGCAATATACATCTATGTACCTATAGAGCACACCTCAATAAAAAGGTTTTCATCCATACATTATATTACTTTTTATTTAATGTCATGAAAAATTCAGACAACAAGTTTTGTCCTTAAATAAACGTTTCTCCCTCCCCTGCCCTCCCTTCCTAAGCTGACTGGTCCGAAAGAGGAAATTTTATTTAGTTATTTTCTTTTCTTTAAAAAAATAGAAATTACAATCTTACAAGACAGAACATTCAATGAGAACAGAAGCATTTTCCTAAATCTAAAAAGTAAAACATTTCCATAAAACCTGTTGGTATCTACAGGTAGGTGTGTGTGGAGGGTGGTAAATGGAAAGAAAAGGTTTTCCATTTCTTTCTTTCATTCATAAGAGATAAAAAATAACATAAAACCGACTGAAACTTTATATATTTTTCTCTTTTGCACCAACATTCACAAGAATATATATTATATATATTTTTGATCCATTTTTTTATACACAGTGTGAGGGTTCTGCAGGTGGAAACGGACACTCAGCTAAACTGCCAGAGCAAACAAACAAACACGAAATTAATCTTGGTCTGGACAAGAGCCATCACTGCGAGAGGCTCCCCAGGGCTGTTTGATGGGAAAGCGGCCAAACATCCCATGGCTGGAGGGTTGGAAACATCTCCAAGACGCCAAGGACGGAGCATTGGAGCAATCTGGAGGTCTCGGGGCTCCTGGGCATCATCCCCAGTGGGCACACGCGGCCCTGGCACAGGGAGAGGGGAAATCTCCCTTTTTCAGGCATTTCTACCCAGGTTTTTGTCCTTTGCCCTTTCCCTCGATGCTCCTGGAGGCCCAGCGGGGCGCGAGGGACCTCGGCCCAGCCTTGGCCGCAGCCCTTGCCATCCCTTCCCAGGCATCTCGCCCGTCCCAAGCCAGAGTAAATCAGCGAATCGACGTGGAATCACTTTATCCCCTCCCGAGAAATCAGCGAATCGAGTCGGTTCCGTCAAAGAGAACTTAGAAAGTGCAGGTTCCCCGCGGTTTGGCAGGTCGGGTTACACGTGTCTTAATACTTCCAGTCTTCCCTAGGTTCCCACGGGGGGGGGGGGCTTTTTTTATTGCTCAGGATCCCAAACCTCTCCCACGAGGCGGACGCTGTGTCGTGAGCCAGGACAAAGCCGGGGCTGTTCCCGAGTTTAAGGTGCTTCCTTGGGTTCTTTGCCGGGTGGAATGGATCCGGTGGCGCTGAGCATCAGCTGGCTGATGAACACTGAGGCTGAAAACAAGGGGCTGTGTTTTTTTTTTTTTTTTTTTCTCCTCCTTTTTCCCCAAATACTTCAGAACACCCGTGTCCCTCTGGGAAAGGCGGCGCCGCTGTCCCGAACTGCGAAGCACGGTCGTTTCCATGATGCTCCCAAAAAAAAGGCACAACCCTCTGGATGTAAAAGGCAGCGCTGACTTCTCACTTCTGTCAAAGCTTGAGGAGCTGAGAGGGCGGGAAACCAGCGGGGCACGTCCCCAACCCGGCGGACGAGGACGACGCATTGGCACTCACGTGGGGCCGTGGGAGGGTTGGCAGCCTTTCCCAGATTCCTGGGCTCCAACGGCGTTGGAGAGGGCTCTGATCTCCTCCAAGGAGCAGTTCAGATGTGGTTCTCAAACCCTGCACAGCCCCCACATTTCCCTCTGCCTTAGACCGAGGCAGAAATCCCACCGGCGACTCTTCCCGGGTCGAGGTTGGTCCGTGCTCTTCCCAAGGAGATCTTTCACCCAAAAGCACGAACATCCCTGACAACACTGAGAGAGCTGCTCCTTGAGTTCAAGGGGTGCAACTGTGGAGCTGAAGGTCTCTGGCTCCCGCTCAGAGATGGTCCAAACTGCTGCAGGAGGGGGTTGGGAGCACGAGGGATCAGCACGAAGCAGGAAGGGGCTCGGGGTTTTAGCCCTTTGTCAGCAGAAACTGGGGCTGCCTCGGAGCAGGGTTTTCCCTTGTAGTTTTTGGCATTTGCTGCAGGAGGAGCAGGAACAGGGACGGAAAAAGCCATCTGCAGAGCCACAGAGTCTCTCAAGTGTTCCCACTGCCGAGGACTATCGCAGCATCACCCCACAAATCCTTCCCTTTGTCACCTTTGAGCTTCCCGAGCCTGGAGCAGCAGGTCCCGACCACACCGCATTCCTTCCCATCACCCTTATTCCTTGAAGGGAAGGAATAAGGACCTTCTGCTTCCCCTTGACCCCAACAGGCAGTTTCTCCCCCTGAAAAGCTCCTAAATCCTGCTAAATAGAGAACAAGCCCCAAAATAACAGTTCTGAGGAGCTCCTTGGGGGGAAGAACCTGGGTCCAACTGAACCTGCAAGAGCAGCCGTGTCCAGTGTGGGAAGGGGGGACCCGGCAGCGGGGTGGGGGTGGGTGGAGGAAGGGCCTCAAACCCTCCTCTGGGTGCTGAGCCACGGGGAAATTTTAATGGGCTCGATGAGACAACAGCAGCACCCAGAGAGCCACCACTGTGGGGACAGGGACAGCCCCGGCACCGCTCGGCACCCGGGGTGGAGCAGCTGGAGCCGGGCTCTGGCTGCGGTCACACGGGCTGGGAAAAGCACTGGGGGTGTGGAAAGGTGGCACGAGGCAGGTGGATCTGCCAAATCAGCTCCAAAGAGCCCAGCTGGGCGGGGAGTTGGCCGGGCATTTGGGGAAATGCTGTGATGGAGGACACGGAGGCCCTGCAGAGCTTTTTCCCTGTCGTGTTGGGTGTCCCTTCCCTTGCACCAGCCTCCTCCACGGGAACATTTTGTGCTGAATCACTCCCCAGCCACAGCTGGGTCTTTCTTGGCCAAGCTCCTGTGGGCTCACTGCACCCCTGGGAGAAGGAATAAACCAAAGGCTCTCCCTTTTCCCTCTCCTCAGCTCCAGCCCACCCCACCCAGCCGAGTCAGCATCGCCCCTTCTTTATCCCATGTCTTGTGTTTGGGTAAAAAAAAAAACAAACAACAAAAACCCCAAAAAAACAATAATTAAAAAAAAAAATCAGAGGTGGAGAGTGCAGCCAGGACAGCAGGACTGCCAGGAGCATCTCCCCTCCCCAGCAGAGATTTCACATTCATTTCACTGGTATGGCAAAGTCCATTTGCTTTTTCCTTCAAGGTGCTTTACATTCAAGAGCTATTGCGACCCACGGCGGGGCCACGGGGCTGGGGGCACCCGCAGCCCCCCCGGCTTCTCTCGAGTTTGATTGACTTGATTTAAATAAACTGCCCCAAACCTCTGAAGTGCAGTTCGTCTCCAAATTTTGGGGAGGCTCGAAGGGCCTCGAGGTGGCTCCCGGCCTTAGCTCTCGCGAGGGTCGCTGTACTGCAGCTCCGAGTTGAAAACCTCCTTGTACAGGGGAGGGAAGTTCATGGCGGTCTCCGGGTGCAGGAGACGGAAAAATTCCAGCTTGTCCAAGTGCAGGTTGCAAATGGTCTTCATCAAGGGCAGCTTGGAAACCATCTGCGGGGAGAGGAGGAGATGGTGACCCCTCTGGGTTCCCAGCCAGTGTCCCTGTGCCGCTGTTCCCCCTTCCTTGGGGTCAAGCAGGAGGGTTTGGGGACCTCTGGATTCCCTTTCCCTGCTGTTCTCCCTCCCTTGGGGAGAATGGATGGGTCTGGGGGTGACTGGGTTACCAACTACTGTCCCTAATGCTGCCATTCCCCTTTCCTTGGGGACAAGCAGGTGGGTTTGGGGACCACTGGATTCCCAATTAACATCCCTGTGCCATTGTTCCCCCTTCCTTGGGGAAAATGGGTGGGTTTGGGGACCACTGGGTTCCCAGTTTGTGTCCCTTGCCCTGCTGTTCCTGCTGTTCCACCTCCCTTGGGGACAAGGGATGGGTTTGGGGACCAGTGGCTGTGCCTGGCACTGGGGCACCAGCAGACAGCCCCCCTTTGGGCAGCCTGGCAGCAACGTGGCCTCAGCCCCAAACCCATGTCTTTCCCCAGGAAAACCAGCACCTGGGAGGGCTCAAGGAGCCCCCCAGGGCCCCCCTCCCTGCTCCAGCTCCGTGCTGCCCAAAGCATTCCTGAATAAGGCTCCTTTTGCCCAAAAAACCCGCTGCCTGCTGCAGTGCCACGCTCAGCAGCCTGGGGCTGCCTCTGCCTGCACTGCCAGGAGATCCACAGCCCCTGGAAAGAGAAATCCTTCTCCTCCTTGGGCAGGTCTGAGTGCCCCAGGAACACCCGTGTGTGGCTCCTGAGCTCTGGTGGAGCCCCGTGCCCCAGCTCAGACACCCCCTGGCACAGCCCACGCCTGTGCCCCCCCTGTGCCACCCCCTGTGCCACCCCCCACCTTCGAGAGCTTGTCCTCGGCGGAGTGTTTCTTCTGGATCTCGTGCTGCAGGGCCACGTAGATCTTGTCCTGCAGCTTCTGCACCTTCTTGGACTCGGTCAGCCAGGGGCGATCTGTGAGGGACACCAGGGCAGAGCTGCTGGGGGGATCTCTGGGATGGTTTTGGGGGCAGTGGCATGGCCAGCTGGGCCTCCCTCCGTGCCCTCCCTTCCTCTGTGGGTGACACAGCTCCTCTCCCCACCGAGGGGTTTTGGCAGATGCATTTTGTGCATTTTTTCCCCCCCAACCTCCTTTGCGAGGAACGACTGAGGTCAAACACCAAGGAACCAGTGCTGAGGAAGTCATGTCAGGGGAGGTTTGGGATGGATCTCAGGGAAAGGTTCTTCCCCCAGAGGGTGCTGGGGCACTGCCCAGGCTCCCCAGGGCAGTGGGCACGGCCCCAAGGCTGCCAGAGCTCCAGGAGCGTTTGGACAACGCTCTGAGGGACAGGGTGGGATTGTTGGGGTGTCCTGGGCAGGGCCAGGGGTTGGGCTGGATGATCCCTGTGGGTCCCTCCCAGCTCAGGATGTTCTGTGACGGGTCAGCTCTGCCCAGCTGTGCCACGGGACACCCCTGGGTGCGGGGGCTGTACCTGGGGACAGCAGGACAGCTGCTGTGAACAGGGCGAGCTCCTCGTCTGACAGCTGCAGGCGGCACAGGGTCCTCCCCAGCTCGAAGATGGCTCCGATGAGATCGTCACAGCCTGGGGAGGGACAGCAGGGATGTCACTGCTCTGCCCTGCCTGGCACAGCCCACACCCCACAGCCCCACAGCCCCACAG